ACTGACCCAAGGTCACACCAGCTGCTGTATGTGGAGGAGCGGGGAATCAAGCCCGGTTCTCCCTGATTAGAGTCCCCACTCCTAACCAGTGTTTCCTCTAAGCTGAGTTAGTGTGAGCTAGCTCACAGTTTTTTGGCCTCCAGCTCACACATTTTTGTCTTAGCTCAGTAAGGATGGCTGCAGAGCAAACTAATTCATGCAGTAGCCAATTCACTCGCTCACAACATAAATGCCAGTAGCTTGCGCAGTAGAGTTTTTGCTCACAAGACTCCACAGCTTAGAGGGAGCATTGCTCCTAACCACTACGCCAAACTGAGGGGTGGGATAGAGGCTACTTCCCCCAGGTTTCCTCATCCAGCTATCGCTATCACCATCACCACCACCATCAGAGGATACCTTGCGCGAACACCTCAGCTGGCTGCTGCTCCCTCGGCCGCCAGACCTTGAGACAGACCCATGCCTGGAGCCTGAACTAGGCCAAGATCCTGAGCTGCCACTGCTGCTGTGATCCCACTCTTCCTAGAAACAACAAACAGCCGGCTTTAGGCGGGGACGACTTGCCAAAGCGAATCGGCTCCTCTGAGGGGGTGAAGGGAATGTCGGGGGGGGGAGCCTAGAAACCGCCTAGCGTGAGCGACTGTTACAGGCCTGCCAACCTCCAGGTGGCACCTGGAGATCTCCGAGATCAGTTCCGCCTGGAGAAAACGACTGCTTTGGGAGGGTGGGCTTTATGGCATTATATGCTGCTGAGGTCCCTTCCTCTTCCCAAAGCCCTCCCTCTCCAGGCTCCGCCCCCAAAATCTCCAGGTATTTCCCAACCCAGAGCTGGCAACCCTGGTTATTCAGGATAACAGATCTGGCAACCCTGGTTATTCAGGATAACAGATCTGGATAACCCTGGTTATTCAGGATAACAGATCTGGATAACCCTGGTTATTCAGGATAACAGATCTAGATAACCCTGGTTATTCGGGATAACAGATCTGGATAACCCTGGTTATTCGGGATAACAGATCTGGATAACCCTGGTTATTCAGGATAACAGATCTGGATAACCCTGGTTATTCAGGATAATACGTCATCTACGAAACTCTGAAACCTGTGATATCCTTGATGTCCCAAATTTGAACATTTATTTATTTATTTAGATTTATATACCGCCCTCCCCAAACGGGCTCAGGGCAATGTACAACAATTAAAATTACAATTAAAATGACATTAAAACAACGTACAACAATTAAAATAATACAATTAAAATGACATTAAAACAATAATTTACACACAGTGATATCATATCATAAAATACCATGTAAACAGAGAGATCGGATGTTAAAGCAATTCAACACCTAATCAGATGTCCAGCCGGATCAGGCCACTGATGGACGATTGGCCAAAAAGGCTGGGAGAGGGGGGGGGACACGTCCGCTGCCTGAACCAAGTGCTTAATGTTTCAAGTGTTTCACATGTGCTCTGTTTACCTTGAGCTTTCAAAAAAGGAAGGCACTTTCTGCATCAAGAAAACCTGAAACTCACAGTTTAAGTAAACAGAGTTGTGTCGGCTCCTTTTACAGAATCTGTTATGCTTCTATGGGGTCCTTTCAATGTTACTTCTAGATGCAGAGTGACTTAATGGAGATACGTGCTACCTGAACCGACCGAATCTCAGTACAACCAAATGTAATTATCAATGATCCAGATATCTGGCCTCAATATGCTGCAGCCTCTAATCTCCACACCACAGAAAATATTAAACCTCTTCAAGATTTCAAAAATGAATTAGATCACGATAAAATCTAAGTTTTGGAAGATGTCGTTATTAGATAAGAGAATATTGGGCACCAAAGATCAATAAATTTTTCGACTACACTCCGTTTGGGCACTAGAACTAAATGCATGAAGTTTACCCAGCAGAAAATAATCCCATAGCCGAGTTCAAGAATGTAGGCTACTGGCAGGGTCGCCCTGTAAAGCTAAAACTGTTTTATTTTTTGACCACGTCTAGTCAGAATTCTATTCTATCATCATTTAGTAAAAACTTGTTTAAAATGTTTTTCAAAATACGTAACCAAGAATGTACGCTATTAGCAGAGTCACCCTGTAAAGTTGTAACTGTTTAATTTTTGATCATGTCTAGTCAGAATTCTATTCTGTTTTCACTCGGTAAAAGCTTGTTTAAAATGTTGGCCTTCTGAATTTCTCTTTCACATTGCTATCAATGTTCCTGAATTACTTTTGTATTTGTTATTATGGTTCTGTACTGGTTTCTATGTCCCCTCTATGGCTTTATTGCTTAGTTTGTGACTTGTTCGTTGGAAGTAGGGCTGCCAAATCCCCCCGGGGGGCGGAATTCCCCCTGCTTTGGAGCCCCGATTTCCGCCCCCGCGGAATCGGGGCCCGGGGGAAAACCCACCCCCGCATGCACGTCACTTCCCTGTGACGTCATCACGCTGGGGCGGGGCACAGGCATTTGAGGGGAAAACATAGAGTTTTCCCCTCAAATGGCAGCGCGCACCGGGAGACAACACAAAGTCCCCCGCTGGCACAGGTGAGTAAATTTGGCAACCCGAGTTGGAAGATTTGGAAATAATAAATAAATAAAAGAATTTGCCCTCTCTAATCTTCTGAAAATAGAGGCATTCATTTATTTAGATATTTATACCTCACTTTTCTCCACAATGGCGACTCAAAGCAGCTTGCAGCATCAGTTCCCCTCCTCTGTTTTATCAGCACAACAACCACCCTGTGAGGTAATGTTAAGGGTGTGTGTGTGAGAGAGAGAGAGAGAGAGAGAGACAGACAGACAGACAGACAGACAGACAGAGAGAGAGAGAGAGAGAGAGAGAGAGAGAGAGAGAGAGAGAGAGAGAGAGAGTGTGTGTGTGTGTGTGTGTGTGTGTGACTGGCTCAAGGTCACCCAGTGAGCTTCCGTGGTGGGGGATTTGAACCTGGGTCTCCCAGATTTTAGTTCAACAATCTAACCGCTACACCATTCTGCCCCCCAACATGTTATGAACTGAGTTCATGATGAAGGTGTATAGAAATTTTCCTTTCTGCTTTCTATAATCCGTGCCTTCTCCTGTGATTATATTCTGATAACATGCTGTGCCTTGTTTCCTCTTGCTAGCCGCATGGTAAGGCCAAATGGCCTAAATAGCCATGCCATAAACCCACATTCTTTCACACTACCATGCCAAACGCCAGACTTCATGGCTACACTTTCTGGCCCCACATGCGACAAGTCACGTACTAAATGGAGTAGCTAGAAGCTGGGTCACCTGATTGCAGGAGGAGTCTCCAAACTTCTAGCCATTCCTGTGTTGTAGC